AAAAACTTGATCTGTGTAAAATATTCGATTAAAATAATTTATTTAAGCTGAAACACACATAGTAAATTTGAGAAAGATTTATACCTGACGTTTAATTCTAGGGTTTCTTTCTATTACGGATCGTCGGTGTAAGACATCACTCATCCGATTTATCTGAAAATACAAAAATTAAATTCAAAATTAAGTTGAAAATACTAACCAAACAAAAATTGAAATATTTAAATTTTTATAAAAAGATCATCATTTCTTTTTACTGATAATTACTTATCAGGTTAGGTTTATTCAAAATATCTTAAATTGATGATTATTGTTGAGCATTGTGTTTAATATTTATTATTGGATAACCTATCTAAGAAAAATTTAATACTTATTGGTTTTTATTCACTACGAAGTAACTAAGAATAATGTAAATTGGTGGAAAATAATTCAATTCATAAAAGCTATTTAACTTTACATTAAATCAGAAAAATATAAATATCATATACAAGACCTCTTTTTCCGTGATATCGCCGATCGTGTATAATATTAGAATATTGACTGTTTTTGTTAAAATGTCTATGATAGAAAATACCAAATACGGATCATTGATAAAGTCTCTACGGAATAAAATAAAACCGTATATTTTTATAATGATACCAGCGACATTTCCTGCAATAAAATCAACAATAGCCGGCAAACCAAATATTGATCTATTTACTTGGTGTAAACATTCTATAACTTCCAAATACATGTCTCTGAATGTACTCAAACATGATCTTCTTTCCAGAATTTGTTCATTTATCACGTAGACCATCCATTTTATGTATAATATTAATAGTACGTATTCGTTAAATGCAACGAAGTCTTAAACATGTACAATTAAGAAAGAAACCTGAAATATATGATATATCTTATTCATATATACGAGTATATAATTCTTGTGTACGTGTGTATCGGGTATGTCACTGACCCCTCCTAAACGTTTGGGTGACGCCCTCCTGGATGGTTTAAATTCACAATTGGACCCGATAGGTCCGATCCGGAGAATTGCTCAAATAGTGATTTTAAGATTTATGAATGAAATATTGGTATCGGTGTCGTATGCTATCTACACAATAAATGTTATCTACAAACATTGCTATTTACGTATAAATTATTTCGTATAATTATATAAAAAATCTTACTTCGTTTTAAACCAGGCGCTTCATAAATAAATGAAGATTGTAAATGGACGTTCTTAATTAAAGTTGAAAAGTATTCTTCATAACATTAACGAATGTTTCCAACGTATTTGTTGTATTTATGGAGCGCCACCATTCTTCTTTAAGCTGCCTTTCCAGCAAATTAGTGGCACCATGCGATTTTATACCATATTTCACCTTTATATGTCGCCAATAACATTCCATAGTTTGAGTTTCAGCTCCTGTTTGTGGATCAATACAATTATTTTTATGATTTACGGTATTGTGGATATAGCCATGATCGTTTAAACAGCTGTAAGCTTTCCATTCTTCTGAGAAAATGGTCGTCTCTGGCTCAATTTCTCTTTTAATAATTGGAAGCAAAGTGGCACGGTCTTTTTCTTGAACGATAAAAAATCGACATTCTACTATATTATCACGTCTGCAACACATTCCAAACTCCTACGGCCCCCGTACGCGTAAACCATAATTTCGATTAGTTATTTCAGTACCTATTAGAATCAGTATCAGTATCAGAGCTGCTGGATTCTGATTCTGCAATTTCTTCTCTAGGTTGACGATCTCTTAGACGTTGACGACCACGGTTATACTTCCGCTTGCCTTGAAATAAAGATTCGCATGCACGTATTGCACTACAAATCCTACACCACCCATTTTCGTAGGTTTTTCAAATTGGTCAGCACAAATATCACGGCAAAGATTGTACCAATCCGACACGGTATGTTTTGACTTCTGACTGCCCATTTCATAGTTTTAGTTACTTTCATACCATGTGCCCAATACTATACGAGCTCTACTATCTGGCATAAACTTAATCCGTTATTATATTTTCCATTAATATCGACATAGGTGAAAAGTGGATTTTTTTTACGAATGGACTGATGAGTTTGACAACCACGTGTTTGGCAACGTAAGTATTCTATTTTAACAAATTGCCCATAGGAATCTCGTTTGCGACTATTTTTATAACATTCCTTGAGTACGCCACCACACAATTCATTGCTAACATTATTGATTCTTTCACTAAATTCTTGTTTAGGCAAGACACCTTTTTGTTTTAAAAAATTCACACAAGTATCATCAGGATAAATAATATGTCTGTATAAATCATAATTTAAAGTCCTTTTGAATACAATACAAAAGACAAACACACGCGAATAATTCACAGACACCGCTAATCGTTAAAAGCCCGTAGGATCTAACTATGTAGAGTGTAGATAAATATTATTACGATTATATAGATATTGTATAACACCAGACAATCAGACGATAAATAGTATTTGCAGATAGCATACGACACCAGTATTTATTGCGCAGATAGCATACGACATAGTATTTGATCTTGATCCATAGCTTCTAAACCCTTACCAGATTATTTAAATATTCCAGGTTTCCCCCCAAAAATATATCATTGGAACAATAGAAGTGGATACATTAGCGTTTTCTAAATTAATATAGAAGGAAGTTAATCATTATAAATAATTAATAAGTAGTTAATATAAACTGTAAGCTATAAAATAAAATACAAATATTTTAAGCTTCCCGATGTTTTCGATTGAAAGTTTGACCATGCATTTCGTAAAATAGTGAAAAATGGTTGAGAAAGTTTCAACAAAACTCAAATTACTTTAAATCATCATGCAAGTTACAACATTAACTTTCAACTTATGACGTATGTTTCAATGCTAGTGATTACCTTTTCTTTTATTCCTAAATAGGTTTGAATTTCCATCCATACGAGTGGAGCTATAATATTTCCTATGACATATATACTAATACCAATAATGAAATAACACTTCATTTTTATTTTCATTGTGTCGACCACTTTCAGTTTTATCAATTTTTCGTGGATTCCTTCAAGTTTAATCAATACCATGGATAACTGATAATCGAAAAATACCCGCCAAAAACGACTTATGATATGTCCAATAAAATATAATTTAACACAACAGATAAGTATTATAGACGTTAGTTCAGTCATTTCCGGGTCATTCTTTATCATCTATAAAATAAAATTACAGAATTACAGTTCACAATAAATTATTGCATAATAATATACAAATACCTATAATATATTATGCTATTTTTTATAATTCCTCTTCTTAATATACTGTTATTAGCTATAGGTTATATTTTACGAATTTATAATGAAAATTTATGAATCAGGTCAAGACAATTGTATTTAGAATAAAAAAAAAAAAAAATAATTTTAAATACAATGATAAAAAATTACCATCGTGTACATTTAATGAAAGAAGTAAGAAATATACGTCTGTTCATTTCAAATGATTTAAGATTTTTTAACGTGCCATTTGTAGTACCGTATAAAAATATTTAATTACAATTATATACAGTGATTACCAATTCGTTGGATGTGTAGAAATGACGCAAAACGACATAAATTAATATGCATCGCAAGACATAAAACACCACTGACTTCTTAAAATTGCTGTGTCTATAGTTTATACTACCAACACCGAAAATCAAAAAACATTTGTTAAAATTATTCAATAATGAGCTTACACTGCACATAATGACTTTAATTTCAGAAAAAAAATAAAAATTTAAAATAGTTATTAGTGGTTAAGTACGGACTTGTACGGTGTGTTTGAACTCTTTTTGTTTTTAAACTGAATAAACGATTGTTTTAAATGTATTCACGAATGTATGTAGAAAATTTAATAACGAATATTAAATGATTGAAAAAACGTTGAAGTGAATAATAAATATTGTTATTTATTTAAATACTTAATTTATATATTATACACTGTAAGGTGTACTCTATGGTTTTCCCACCCACTTATACAGTCGATAATTATTAGTATAGGATGTACAATGTATATAATCCATACAACTAAAAGTGATATTATTCGTGTAACCTAAAAAAACTTGATGTGCATAAAATATTCCACTTAAATTATTTATTTAAGCTGAAACCCACAGAGTAAATTTGATATACATTTATACCTGACGTTTAGTTCTTGGGTTTCTTTCTAAAGGATCGCTGATGTAAGAAATCACCCATCCGATGTATCTGAAAATACAAAAAAATTTTTTTAATAAGTTGAACATACCAACCAAAAACAAATGTAAATCTCTAAATTATTATCAATAAGTTATCACTTTTTCAATGATGATCACATATAATGTTGATACAAAACTACTTAAATAGTTGCCTATTGTTCAGTATAGTGAAAATAGAAATACTTATTATTGTAACCTATCTGTTGACGCGTATATTTTATTGGCAATTATTGTAAAATCGGACTTTGTCGCATTATCGCTCACGATAGTGAGTACTATGTATAACATATAATATTATAAGTGTCTAGTGTCAGTATGCGTTCGACTGCCAATCGCCACGTAAATAAAAATATATTATAACAAATTAAACCAACTATATTATTATATTCTTAAATTAATATAAATCTCATACAGTCCACAAATTTAAATTCGAAACTTAACATTGGTCCTTCAACCAGGATAATAGGAATCGGCGATATTCGTGAATGGCAGTCAAAATTAAAATTCGCACAGTATTTATTAAAGATAAAACGTGTGTAAAAAAGTGCGTGCGTGAAATACTCAAATAAAATATAATCAGCCGTTAATCCAGTCGTGTATCAGAATAACGGTAAGGTTTTCGAAAGGAGAACAATATTGGACATACCAATCCAACTTCAAAGGAGGAAAAATCTGGTAAGTCGTGTCCATATTATCTTAAATCCACTCCTTCCTAAAATAAACTATTAGGTTTAAAAAAAAAAAAAA